ATTTAACGCAATCTCTCATAGATATTTCAAAAAAAAAAATTCCGTTTACTTATTCTTTTCAGTTTTACTCTGAATACGTGAAATCTCAATTTTTTTAGTTACAAAAGCTCTGAAGATTGAGCTGTTCATTTTTGTGTTGCTATACTTAGGTTAGGGTTTCGATTTCTCTCATGGAATTGAAATAGCTACTTTGATTCTCCTGGGAATCTCTGTTCTTCTGGTTTGTTGAAGGAAAATAAAAATGTCGACGAAGATCAAAGGAGAACATCTGATCTCTAGAAGCTTCGTATCGAAGAACTGTACATTTGTACTCTGCTTTGCGAGTTTCTGCGTCGGTATGTTCTTCACCGATAGGTATGATTTTTTAAATCTTTTTTTTTCCCCAGCTGTTTTTGTTTTTGAATAGTTTGATTTTGTTCATTCGTTAATACGTTTCGTATTCCAATGAATTCTGATTATTTCATTTTTATTGTTCTTTTGTTTTTGAAGATTTTTGAACCTTTTTCTCTTTTTGGTCCGAGTTTTATTGACTGTGTTTGTGTTCATCACAATTAATTTAAGCTCTGTTTTTGATTTTGGTTTCCGATTTTCAATTTAATCAGTTAGATCCAAGAGAAGCCGATTCTTTCTGGTTTCAGATAAAACTCAGAATTTTGTTGAAACTATAAGACTATTTCTAAACATAAGACTATTTCATGTTTCAGTTTTACCTCTAAACATAAGCTAAATGACATGATTTTTGAAACTATAAGACTATTTCTCTCAAAACATATGGTATGAAATTTTACTGTTTGGCAGGATGTGGAATATTCCGGAGACTAAAGACATGGCTCGACCAACCGTAACAGAAGCTGAAAGATTGAAGCTAATCTCCGAAGGCTGTGATCCGAAAACCGTGAGTGTGTGATGTGTTGTTGAATCCATTTCTACTACTTTTTGGTTGAGTTTGTAGAAGATTTCTTAATCTTTGTGTTAATGATCCGATTGGTGTTTCATTTTAGCTTTACCAGAAAGAAGTAAAACGCGATCCCCAGGCTTTGTTTAGTGAAGTTTCCAAGACTCATAACGCTATACAGTAAGATAAAATCTTAAAAGCCTAAAGTTGATCCAAATCAAGAATCTTGTAACACTTCTTGACAAATCAAGAAGTTCTTGTTTTTTAACTTCAGGACATTGGATAAGACCATTTCAAGCTTAGAGATGGAGTTAGCCGCAGCAAGATCAGCGCAGGAGTCTTTAATGAACGGTGCAGCTCCTACATCGAATGACATGGAGAAGAAGCAGTTACCGAAGAAAAGACGATATATGATGGTTGTAGGGATCAATACTGCTTTTAGTAGCCGAAAGAGAAGAGACTCTGTTCGAACAACTTGGATGCCTCAAGGTTCCTAAAACCACTTTCTAGCTTCAATATCTTTAAAATTTATGATTTCAATATGTTCTTGATGGTTGTTTCTGTTGAAAATGCTGCTTTGTAGGTGAGAAAAGAAAGAAGTTGGAAGAAGAAAAGGGAATTATTATACGTTTTGTGATTGGTCATAGGTGAGAGATAGTATCAATGTCACACTCACTATGTTCTCACATAGTCTATATGATGAGTCACACGTGTCACACTCAGTAGTCTCTCTATAAATCTGATGTTGTTTGTCATTTGGTTCTTTAGTGCCACGGCTGGTGGAATTCTAGACCGTTCCATTGAAGCAGAGGACAGAAAGCATGGAGATATCTTGAGATTGGTAACTTTTCTTTGTCCTCAAACTGACTCATGGTTTTGATGTCCAAAGCTTGTCCTTATCATTTTCTTGATCTTCATTTGTGATTTTTTGCTTTTCTTTTAACAGGACCATGTTGAAGGGTACCTGGAGTTATCAGGCAAAACGAAAACGTATTTTTCTACAGCGGTTTCAATGTGGGATGCAGATTTCTATGTCAAAGTAGATGATGATGTTCATGTAAATATAGGTAAGCTCTACAATCATCTTCTACCAGATACTTTAAAAGATTTAGACAACTCTTCTTTCATTTTGTATGTGACTGTTTTGTTGAAACATCAACAGCAACTCTTGGGGAAACTCTTGTTAGGCACAGGAAGAAACCTCGAGTCTACATCGGCTGCATGAAATCTGGTCCAGTCCTATCTCAAAAGTAAATTCCAAAACTTTCCCTCTTTTCCTTTAAATCAGTTTCTTGGTTTTGTTTTGGACTCACATTTTGTTGTTTATGGAGCAGAGGAGTTAGATACCACGAGCCTGAGTATTGGAAGTTCGGCGAGAACGGGAACAAGTATTTTCGTCATGCTACTGGACAGTTATACGCCATTTCAAGAGACTTGGCTTCTTACATTTCCCTTAACCAGTAAGCTTGGACCTCCTTTGTATTGTATTCATGCATGCATGCCTCATTTCTCCATCTAATATCTCTGCGTTGTGAAAACGTTTCAGGCATGTTCTGCACAAGTATGCAAATGAAGATGTTACGTTAGGTTCTTGGTTTATCGGTCTTGATGTTATTCATATCGATGATAGAAGGCTATGTTGCGGCACTCCTCCTGGTACTTTCTCTGTTTCTCTTCATTTCCTCCAAACCTTTACCAAAATCTTGAATCTTGAATCTTAAATCTTGAATCTTGGGGATTTGCAGATTGTGAATGGAAGGCACAAGCAGGCAACATATGTGTAGCTTCGTTCGACTGGACATGTAGCGGTATCTGCAAATCCGCTGATCGGATTAAGGAGGTTCACAAGCGATGTGGTGAACCGGAAAACGCTATTTGGAAAGCAACATTTTGAAGCCTTCCCTTCCACAACATATAAATATAGATCATATAAAAAAAATTGTGCCATCAAAATGATGGTTAACGCAGAAAACAGTTCGTCTTCTGCATATTGTTGTATCATAGTTGCTTACATAGGAGAGGACTAAAAATAGATAATAAGTGTGAACCTCTTTGCAAGGATAGCGTTTGCGTTTGAGAACGCCAGAAAGGTATGCGACAAGCGTTTCCGTTTTAGTATAAGGAAACCAGCCGCTGCAGCAGACGTGCTTGCTTCTTTCTTGTTTTGGTTGTTTGAGAGTGAAGTAGCTTGTGGATGTTTTAGAATACAAAGATTTTGTTTCTTCTTAATGTTAAGAGAGTTAATACAAAGTTACAAACAACAGTATCATTTATTTGATTTAAAGTTTCGATTTTTGGATGATAAACAAGATTTCAAGTTAGAAAACCTTCTTCATTTTAGACTTTACTTTTAAGAAACGAATGTTTATCTTGTTACAAATAAATAAATATGAGATGAAACATCATGTGCTCGAACGTGTTTTCTGAGTTTTGTTCAGATGAAGAAGAATTCAAATATAAGTCAAAGAGAAAGAAAAACGCTTGAGAGCAGAATGGAGCCACATTTGTTCTCGTATCTTTTAGCGAATGATTCACGAGAAACTGATTGATTGGAGTTGTTTTGTCTTTGTTCCATTTTATATTCTTCTGTTAAAGTGTTTTCTTTTGATATATTCACCGTTTTTTTTGGTATTGGGAATATATACTCTCTTTGGTTTCTTCCCCACAATTTACGTACGACCTTTGTTGTGTTTTTTTGGTTTTAACCTTTGTTGTATTCTTCGTCACGTTTACTTTATTTACAGTCTCTCTTCTTTTCCATCGGTTTCAGTATTTTCCCTTTAAATCACCTTTCCTTCTCCTCTTTACAAGTAGTCTTCCATTTTTTTCATAATCATATATTGTTTGCTTTGCGAAGTTTGGATTTGGATTAGTGGCTCTGAATCTGTGAGTTACTAGCAGTTGCGTGGTATGTTGTTCAGTTTATAAAAGTTTCTATGTGATATGTTGAGATCAACAAATGCATGAACAGTATGGGTTTTGGTAGAATTTTCTCAAAGAAGAATTAGCTGATAGATATCTAAAACGGGAAAAAGAAAGTATGGTCACTTCGCACTACATGTGAAGGAGCAATCCAACAAGTGGATAAAAACAAGCGGTCGGGTTCTTTAGTTTTAAACTTTAAAGTGTAGATAAGTATGATTCCTTGATAGGCTCAAACAAGTGAACAACACTGTTCTAATCAAAGTCTTTGTCCGTTTACTCCTCTATAAACAAAAATAAAACTCTTTCTAGTGAGAAATATTTTTTTTTTCTTTTTTTTTGGATTATCAGTAAGTTCTGAGATGAGAGATAAATATTTTGCTTACTCTTTCCATGTCTTTGTACATTAGAAACTCTATAAATAAATATTCAATAAATTAATAAATTTATCCAATTTCGAATTGGATTGGTGTAAAATATAACACAATTTGATATAATAATAAGATAATAATCTTTTAAAAATTCATATGTAAAATATAGTCCCAATAATATCATAAATTAATAATTATCATATAAAAATTTATATCTATAAATATATATATATATATACACCTAAGATATCTAGCTACTAAAATATGAATCTCACATACACCAAACTGATATGGAAATTAAAGGCAAAAAGAAATTTAAAATAATATGATAAATATGTGAAAATGTAAATAATAAATTAAATATGGAAACATTAATAGCAAAAGTTAAGAAAATATACATATAAAGGAAAAATTTTCTTTAATTTGAAGGAAAATTTAAAAGATTACTAATATTGATTTTTTTTTAAAAATAATTTTTAGTCAAAATCTATATATTAATAACTTTATAAATTAATAAATTATTAAAGTCCCGACATTATTAATTAAAAGAGTTTCTACTGTATATATAATGTTTAATTGAACACAATTTTGAACTATATATAGATTCAACACATTATTACATTTATTAAATTGTTGAGTTTCTTATTCAACATACCATAACAACTAGTCAACACATCATTTATTAAATTGTAGAGATAATTATCTTTCTTATTCTTTCCATATCTTGTATTTATCTGCAGGATATAAATACAAAGCTTTCTGGTGAAACAAGATTGCATTTTGATAAAAGAGAGAGTTTACAACTTGAAGCTATGGCGGAAACGGGTTTGATTCTGAAGTGGTTCCCTTTGATAGCCATTGGATTGTTTGTTCTGAAATGGGTGTTGAAGAGAGTCAATGTTTGGATTTATGAGTCCAAACTTGGTGAGAAGAAACATTATCTTCCACCAGGAGATTTGGGATGGCCTTTCATTGGCAACATGTTTCCCTTCCTTAGAGCTTTCAAAACATCTGATCCTGACTCCTTCGTCCGTAGCTACTTCACAAGGTACATACATATATTTACTCTTTCTCCTCAAACAATCTCACAAAGTTGCTCTGTTTCAGTTTAGAGAGAAAATTTGATGAAAAAGTTTGTTTTTCCCTTCCATATTGATTCAGGTATGGGCGTAATGGTGTTTATAAAGTACACATGTTTGGGAACCCAAGTGTGATAGTAACAACACCAGAGACTTGTCGGCGAGTTCTAACAGATGATGATGCCTTCCAGCCAGGCTGGCCAAAATCCACCATGGAACTCATTGGGAGGAAGTCTTTTATAGGTGTATCCGAAGAAGAACATAAGCGGCTCAGGCGTTTGACCGCTGCTCCTATCAATGGCCCTGAGGCTCTCTCTGTCTACATAAAGTTCATTGAAGATGCTGTTGTTGCTGATCTTGAAAAATGGTCCAAGATGGGAGAAATCGAGTTCTTGACTCTTGTGCGTAAGCTTACGTTCAAGATCATTATGTACATATTCATGAGCTCTGAGAGTGAGCATGTTATGGATGTATTGGAACGTGAATATTCCAACCTTAACTATGGAGTTCGATCCATGGCTATCAATCTTCCTGGTTTTGCTTATTATAAAGCATTGAAGGTAAACTTAAACAACCTTATATTGATTTTTTTATCTTGTGCATATTTCTTGGGATTTTGAGGATTTAAGTTTTTTTTATTTAAATACAGGCAAGGAAGAAACTTGTAGCTGCTTTTCAGTCAATAGTGACTAACAGGAGAAACCAAAAGAAGCAAGGTGTGTCTAACAAGAAAAAAGACATGCTTGATCATCTAATAGATGCTAAAGATGAAAATGGAAGAACTTTAGAGGATGATGAGATTATTGATGTTTTGTTGATGTATCTTAATGCTGGTCATGAATCCTCTGGACACACCATTATGTGGGCTACCATTTTCCTCCAGGAACACCCTGAGATTCTTCAGAAGGCAAAGGTAAATAAGAATGTGTAATTTTTGTTTTGTTTTCCATTTTCAGTATACAATCTCTGAGTTGTGATGATAATCGTTGTACCATAGGAAGAGCAAGAGATGATTGTGAAAAAGAGAGTGCCGGGACAGAGTTTGACGCTTAAAGAGACACGTCAAATGGAGTATCTTTCACAGGTCAAGTTTCTGCCTCATTGCAACAAAAAGTTTAATGACGTTTTATAACATAGTATGATTTGTTATAGAGTTTTACTTATAGGGAAAGTTTTTACCAGGTTATAGATGAGACGCTCCGAGTGATAACATTCTCTTTTACGGCCTTCCGGGAAACAAAGTGTGATGTCCAGATGAATGGTCAGTATACTCATTACCTACATAGAACATAGTAAATCATCTTAAGAACGTTTATACATATCATTTCTTATGTTTTGTATTCAGGTTATATCATACCAAAAGGCTGGAAGGTTCTGACTTGGTTTAGGGATGTTCATTTGGACCCTGAGACCTACCCGGATCCAAAGAAATTTGATCCTTCTAGATGGGAGGTATGTAGTAGAGATGATAAAGTCTTTGTAAATTGTATTTGGTGCTCTGTAGTGTCTTACATGTCAAAAGCACCTGAACATTGGTCTGGTTCATTCTACAGAACTACACACCAAAAGCAGGCACATTCTTTCCTTTTGGATTAGGAGGTCGTCTTTGCCCTGGAAACGATCTTGCCAAGCTCGAGATTTCCATTTTTCTTCATCATTTCCTCCTCAAATACCGGTAACTCTCTCTCTGCTTAGTTCAGCTTTCTTGTTCTCATTTTACATATAGTTACGGACTGACTTATCATGATCTGTTTACAATGGTGAAATGGCAGAGTGGAAAGGAGCAATCCTGCTTGTCCGGTGATGTTCTTGCCTCACAACAGGCCCAAAGATAATTGCTTGGCAAGAATCACCAAAACGACTCCGTAATCATCTTCAAACTAGTAGATCCCTTTTACCAAATAATAAGCTTCTTTTCAGGTTTCCATTGTCTCATCTCTTCTTTGAACTCGATCCAAACCGGTTTGGTTTTGAATTCCTTTTACTAATAAAAATATATGTATCAATATGTTGAATGTTGAACCTTTTATTTTCTTAAGTTCAAATTTGGTTACAATTATATAAAGAAAAATCTAATTGCCTGATTTTTGTTTAAGCTTTTAGTTTGTGGTTTGAGTTTTTGTTTGGTTTGATTACAAGGTTAGCTTTGTTCTTCATTTCGCATTTAATAGCCAATTGTGCATTTATTTCTTCTATATCATTATCTAAATGCTACTATCAAACTTGTAATACCTTGTACTCTTTTTTGGTTTGTAGTTTGTTTGAGTTTAGTTTGGTTTGGTTTGATTATAACTAAATTTGAAATCCAATGCATCATTTTATTTCTTCTCTTTCATTATCTAAATGGTACTATCAAACTTGTAAAATACAAGTGGATGATTGACTTCTTAACAAGAAAACGAAATGACCAATTAAGTACAGTATTTAATTTTGGTGGTACTATTGACTATTGAATTATTTATATAGTTGTACTTACTTTTCTCGAATTAAAATTAGGATTTATGTAATAAGCCACACAGCACAGTACAACAACACCGTTATCTCCTGTCCACTATCTGAGTTTAGTCATAAACACAGACAACAAATAGACAGCTCGGACTCTTGTCATCACCCTTTGATTTCTTCTTCTTCCATTTCCTAGTTTAAATTTAGAAACTTTTCATAAACACAAGATTGATTCATCATCACAATTCTGGCAAACCAAAGCCCAGAAATTGATCCGTAATTAGTGTTTCTTTCGTGTAAATTTTCCTGATTTGTGTTTTAGTTACATTGGATTCTGTAACCTCTCACTTTTGCTTTTCGAATTTCAATTTTGTTACTTTCTTTGTCCATTTTTTCGAGCCCTGATTTTTTGGGCGGGGGAGGGAAAAAAAAAAGGTTGGATTTTTATTTTCCGGCGAAGAAAAAAATGACGACGAGAGGAGGCAGATCGGAGAAAGTAAAGAGGATTTTCCAGCAATTCGACGGAAACCGCGACGGCGGGTTAAACCGGGAAGAGATGTCATCCCTCGTCGTCTCCGTTAACCCTAGAGTGAAATTCATCGACGAGCAGATCAGCGCGATCCTCGACGAAGTATTCCGAACCTACGCCGAATTCATCGACGGTGACAAAGGATTAACCTACGACGGTCTTCTCCGAACTTACGACGACGGCGCCGGAGACGTCGATCGCGATTTCGACGCTCTAGGAATCGAATTCACCGCCGCCGACGAGACAAAGCGCTCGGAAGCTTCGTCGTCTTCGATCACCGACGAGAGAGCCGTCGAATCACAGAAACAGAGAACCGCGGTTTCGCCGAACCACGGAATCGTATTCGACGACACGTGGAAGCTCGTCGACGACTTGGAGAGTCTCCTCAAGAGACTGAAATCGAAAGACGGGAAATTGAAATCCGATAACAACAACAACAACAACAACGTCGACGCTTTCTCCGACGCCGGATGGTCTAGAGAGCTAGGTCCGTCTTCAGATATCTCCGATAAGAGAATCATCGTTACACTCGAAGAATCAAGTCACGATTACACAGTCTTCGTCAAAGAATTAGGAGTCCTGAGAAGCAGAGCAGACGGAGCTAGGTCAAAGGAAGAAGCTTTCGACGGACACATAGCGATTGGTAAAGTCTTGCACGATCACCAGCTCTTCAAAGAAGCTCTCGTCAGCTTCAAGAGAGCTTGCGAGCTTCAGCCAACAGACGTGAGACCTCATTTCAGAGCTGGCAACTGTCTCTACGGTTTAGGGAGGTTTAAAGAGTCGAAAGACGAGTTCTTGCTTGCGAAGGAAGCTGCAGAGTCCGGTGGTAGTAGTCAATGGAGTTACTTGCTTACACAGATTTACGTCAATCTTGGAATCGCACTTGAAGGAGAAGGTATGGTTTTAAGCGCTTGTGAGTATTACAGAGAAGCTGCGATTCTCTGTCCAACGCATTACAGAGCGTTGAAGCTTTTAGGTAGTGGTTTGCTCGGTGTTGGTGAGTGTAGAGCCGCTGTGAAGGCTTTAGAGGAAGCTATATTCATGAAACCGGACTATGCGGACGCGCATTGCGATTTGGCTTCGTCGCTTCATGCGTTGGGTGAGGATGAGAGAGCGGTTGAGGTTTTCCAGAGAGCGATAGATTTGAGGCCTGGTCATGTGGAAGCTTTGTATAACCTAGGAGGGCTTTACATGGATCTAGGTAGGTTTCAGAGAGCTTCTGAGATGTACGCTAGGGTTTTAGCCGTGCGGCCTAAGCATTGGCGAGCTCAGGTTAACAAGGCTGTGTCTTTGCTTGGAGCTGGAGAGAGTGAAGAAGCGAAGAGAGCGTTGAAGGAGGCTCTGAAGATGACTAACAGAGTTGAGTTGCATGACGCGATCTCTCATTTGAAAGAGTTGCAGAAGAAGAAGAAGGTGAATGAAGAAGGTCCGTTCGTCGTTGTGGAGCCTTCTAGGTTTAAGACTGTGGGAGAGAAGACGACTCTGAGACCTGATTTAGCGATAGCTATTGAGATTAGAGCCTTCCAGAGAGTTACAAGGCTTGGGAAATGCGACGTTGAAGGGATAAGAAGAGAGATGAGAAGGAACGACGTTCCTGTGTCTTACTCCGGGAACGGAAGGCCGACGAAATCTATCCGGAAACCTAACTTGGAAGAGATTCTCCGGCGGTTGTTGAACGTTCTGAAACCGGAAACGTTCCAAGGAGCGGTTAAGGCTATTAACGAGAAGATCTTGTCGGTTCTTGATGATTCAGGGTCGGGAAGAGTTGATTTAGGTTTGTTCTACGCGGTGGTTGCTCCTTTGTGCGGTGGCCATCCGGATAAACGGAAAAGAGTAGCGTTCGATGCGCTTCTTTGGAGACCTGTGAACGAAGGAGGAAGCTCTCAGATTACGAGAAGGGATGCTGTCAAGTACATCAAGCTTTTGAGAGCTATCTACATACCGTCACAAGGTATGAGCGAGATGTTGGAAGTTCATGGAGAAGGTGGTGATGATACTTCGTCGTCGACGGTAACGTTCAGCGAGTTTCTTGGGATGTACGATGATTTGGAGTGGGGGTTTGGTATCATGTCGACGGTTGTGAGACTAGAAGCGAGAGATAGGAATCGACATGGGAACCAGGTTTGTTCGGTTTGTCGGTATCCGGTTATTGGATCTCGGTTTAAGGAAGTGAAAACCGGGTTTAGTTTGTGTAACCAGTGTTACAGTGAAGGGAAAGTTCCTCCGACGTTTAAACAGCAGGAGGAATATAGGTTCAGAGAGTATGGGAGTGAAGTTGAAGCCATGAAAGCTAAGTGTGTTTGTTTTTCAATGCAGTCTCATAAAAAACCGATTGCCACTTAGCTCTGTTTTCCACATATCTTGTTTCTTAATTTGTAGTATTTTGTTCTCATGTTGTGTGTACAGTTTTGATGAAGTGATTGTTGGTGAGCGGCTGTGATTTATTTTTGTACTCTAAAATTGATTTTTCCCTCCTCAAATGTTTTGTTTTTTGTACAGCTAATTTCAGATTATTTGATTTAGTCAATGCTCTTGAATGGTTCAGCATGAATAACATTCGTAGGCTTGGCCGAGTCTTCAAAAGTTCAAAACTGACAAATCAATTTATTTTTTTAATCAGTTTATGTAAGACCTGTTTGTCAGAATCAGAGCGCAGACCAGAATCTAGAATTTCATAGAGTCTCTTAGTTGCATATTATTGCTATTTTTGGAATGGTTGCTTTTTTTAGTTTTTTCTATTTTAGTGGTACTTTTTTTTTTTTACCTGACCATGGATGGACATGACATTTTAGAGAGCTATAACTATATTTTGAGGAAGTTAAGAAAAGAAAAACTATATTTTGATGGTCACGTTTTATTTCCTTTTCTTTAGGGTCAGCAGGAGTGACATATGAAAGAGATATAAAGTAGAGTAAAAATGAAGAAGAATTAAAGAGACTTCTGATCTAAGAACTGTGGTGTGATGTCAGAAGTTAGATAAGGTGCAAGTATGTAAAGGTCATGGAACCTTAGCTCTGGAGAAATATATAAATTGTTATCTTCATTTCTATTTTTCTTTCTTGGGGTGCCGAAACTTAAGGAGATTATTCTTGGAATATTGCGAAATTTTTTGCAAATGACATAAGCCAATTGCAGTGGATGCAACTGGTCGTCTCTCTGCCCAATCACATTACCCTCCCCGATTTTCTACTCTCTAGCTCTTTCCTTGTTTCTTACGTGTGTTGTTTTGTATAATGATTCATAATTCTCATTGAAAAAAGAAAAAGAAAAAATAAGCCAAGTCAAATGGCGTTATTATAGTTTATGATCCTCAAAATTTAGTTTTTAGGTGGTACACTACTTGAGTTTAGCTTAACTATAGATTCTCTAAGATCCATAATCTGACTTTGAATCATAATAGAGATTATTCTAGTATATACAAAGATTTGTAGACCATTCCACTGATGTTAATTGATTGTGAGATGAAAAACTCTCATATCTATGCAATTATACTCTTGTTTATTATTGAATTCGATTTGTGCTTGACATTCTGGCGCGTAACCATTATAGTGTCTAATTTTATATGACATGAGTAACCAAAAAAAAGGAAAATATATTGTAAGCTCATTCTAATCTCTTTTAAATTTCACCTCTTTTTCTTTCCCCTTGTAAACATTTCCACATAAAGTTCATAGCACATCCCAAAATCAACACTTTGAAGAAGATTTTACACAAAAAGAGACAAATCAAGCTCACAATTAGCTCTTTTGTTTTTTTCAAATATCAAAGAAATGGTTTGGCTCTCGGTGAGGTTCCAAATTAGCAGATACTAGGCATGTTGCTCCAATAGCATGACCCCAACGAGGCCATAGGATCTACACCGGACGAAGGTGGCCCCATTTGTGGTTCCACACCACTATTACCTTGATGGTTTCCGACAAGAACTCCGCTCGGTGAGGCAAGATATGAGTCTTCATGAGTTTGGATTTCCGCTGTCTGGTACCAATCTGGTAATGGTGTGGGTGAAGGGAAGTTGTTGAGAAGGCTCATCAATAACTCATCATCATCATCCACCGTTGCTTTCACCGTTGTTGGCTCATTGTACTTCTTGTAAAGACTAGGGTTTGGTTCTGTTTATTTAACAATATATATCAAGATAAAGAAAAGTAATTAGACTGAAAATCCTAGTTAGATTCAATTTCACAATGATAAATGATTTTTGTTGAAACAGAATTCCAACACATATATCCGGATTAAACAACTCTACTAAGCTACTATGCAATAAAAATTAGTGATTATAATACCAAAAAATATGTATAAAAGAAATGGGTTGAAATATAGATGCTTACCGAATGATGATTGATGAGAAGAGTTTAGATGATCTATTAACCGATTCTCAAACTCCATTTTCACCCTCTTGTCTTGATCCTCACATAGATCACTCGGAGAAACCCTAGCGTCCTTGAAGATTCCGCTACGAGACAAGGCTTGAGACTCTTCCAAGAGGGCGTCAAGCAATCCACTGTTGCGAGCAGGTGGATCAAGATGGAGACCACTGTCGAGAAACGAATGGTTCGATGTTTGGTTTGAAGGAAGCTCTAGGACCGCATTGTCTAGTCCTAAAGGGAAGAAACTCTGTCTCATCTCATGATCTCCTATGAGCAACGAACTATAACTCATAGCATCAATGTCTTTCTTGTTGGTGCCCGAGTTCTCGGAGATGAGCTCAAGAAGTTGGTCAGGATTACAAAACTCATTCGAAGATGAGGATGAGGACAAAGGAAGAGAGAAACCAAACTGGTTACTCTCATTCTCAAGGCTATTGTTGTTGTAAAGAGAGAACATTTGAAAATTCATCGGAGAATCGGGGATCTTGTTTAGGCCGCCGGGATTAGTAGAGACTAAGGGATCAATACACTGCCTTTTTGAAGGTTGAGAGGATGAAGAAGAGAATGAAGACGAGGATGATGAAGTGTTAGAGGAATTAGTGTATTGAATCATATTTTGGTGATCTTGGTTTTGGAATTGAAAGGAATCAAACTCAAACTCAAACTGATCATCGTCATGATCATAATTAACTTGATGATGAAACTCTTGAGGGTATAAAGGCAAACCAGCTCGTTGTCTTCTCTTCATCCTTGTGTTCCAATAGTTCTTGATCTCGTTGTCTGTTCTTCCCGGTAACTATAAACCACCACACCGAGAGGAAAAAAAAAATTATAAGAATCTATTAAAACAAAGACATGCAACAAAAAAAACAGAAAAATAGATGCAAGATTAATCATGCCAAAAGAAAGAGAGAGAGAGAGAAAGGGAGATTCAAACACATTGAGACATGCAAATTATGTGTTTAACTAGAAAAATGAAACTGCATATTGAAATTTAAGTCTCTTTAATCTCTTCAAGGAAGAAACCAACAAGGAGATTATTTAAAAAGGTTTATTAAAAAAAATGAAAAACAAAAATTGTTTTTTTAATGAGAAAACTAACCTGAGAAGCCATACGAGCCCATTTGTTCCCCATCTTAGCGTGAAGCTCGATAATGATCTTCTCTTCATCAGGACTAAAGGATCCTTTCTTCAGATTTGGCCTTAGATGATTCGCCCACCGTAGACGGCAGCTTTTCCCACACCGGAGCAAGCCTGAGTTCTTCTGCACGGCGTTCCAGTTTCCCTCGCCGTGTTTCTTCACGTATTCCGTCAAGATCGCATCCTCCGTCGTCGTCCACGGCCCTTTCTTCAACCCTCTCGCCTCCGTCGTCGCCGTCATCTCTCCACCACCGTCCATATCCTTCTGAAGACGACGACCCTCCGATCAAGGAGGAAAAAAAAAAGAGTTTTTCTCTCTGTTACTTGATATATACGATGTTTGTATGTGTATATATTTGTATATATCAAGTAAATTTTGTGTGTTATGAATTAGATATATAGAGAAAAAGAAGAAAAGGGTGAATTTTTTTTTTTGGGGTGGTGTTTGGTGTATATTTGGAAGTGATATAAATTTGTATTATTACGTAATAATTTGTTGTTATTACGTGCTTTATTTAAACTTTAATGCCTTGTTTTGTCTTTTTCTTCTTCTCTTTGGTCTTTCCTCGGAGAGAAGACAGAGAGGTTTGAATAAACTACAGAAGGAGTTTTCATGAGAGAGAGATAAGACAATTGTCTGTCTTTAGACAAATCCGAGATAAAAAGAGATTGTGATGAGATAATTATGAGAAATTTTATAATAATTATTTTTAAACTATGTTTATCACTTCTTAGTGTCTATCTCGTTATTCTCCACTATTTGAATCTATTTTCTTTCCAAAAAAGATAAGTCAGTCGTTCTCAATAATCCATAGTAATTAGTCAAAGCCGTCTATTTGATGTTAAGAGAGAATCTAATTGAAAATGACTTGCTCCATCATTAATAAGCTTTTATGAAACATAGAAGAACACTCGAATTAAGTATGACCCAGTTAGAACATCATTAATTAAAGATTAAAATGAGATAAAAAAATTTAAAAACATATACAAAAATAATCAAAGAAAGAACAAAAAAAGGAGAGGAGTGAGCTTCTTTCACGGCCGCGCAGTGCATGCCTAATGGAATGGGACGTTCTCTTCAAAGACGCGTTTTTCTCTTAATTACTTCTCTTCCTCCTTTTCTTTTTCCCCCACGCCATTTCTGTCTTTCTTCTCGCTCATTTTTGTTCTTTTTAAAAAAATCTCGAAAATATATATAATGATTTATTATTATCTTTCTTTTTAGGATAGAGGAAAATAAAGATAAATCAAAAGGTCATTTTATGCGATATTTCATGCAAAATTACGTTGGCATGATCACTTTTCATATGGGCACATTTTTATCGTAGGAATTTGAGTCTTCTAAGCAAAAAATGTCCCAGTGTCGTCAAGTTGTATTAGAACTCTTCTCTTCCAAGTCTTTAATTAGCAAAAAAATAACACTCCTCTTTAAAGATTCTGAACTTTTTAATCAAAGCTCTCTCAAAAGCTAATACAGATAACATCTAATTTGATTTGATTTTTTGTGAATATTGTCTTATATTGTATATATAATTCACAAGTTACACGCGTCTTACTATTTTTTTTCCTGTGTTGAATGCATTTAATTGTTTTTCATTACCTTAATATGTGTGATTTTGTTTCTTCTTTTTCATTAAATCTCTACTAAAAGGTTCTAAAAGTAACCTCTAATTAAATTATATTGTATGTATATAATTCACAAGTTACACGCGTCTCACTGTTTTTCTTCTAAATTTGTATAAGTAGTGTTGCATGCACTTGATTATTTTTTGGAATTTTTTTTGAATGTCAAACATTTTAATGGATAGAAATCTTTCAAGTTACTAATTTTATTAAAAATATTCCGAACAACATCGAAAGATCCACCTATATTGTTGTTGAAAAAAAATATTTTGAATGGTGCTAAATGCGCTTAAATTAATCTTTGCTTGAAAATAATTTGAATATTGAAAACTATCAATGAAAAAGATATTTTAAGTTTAAATTTTTTAACTTTCAATGATAGAAATGCTTAAAAGTACAATAATATCATGAAATCTGCTAAGAAACATATTTTTATTTATTTTCTTTAAGTGGAACTTTTAATAAAGTTGAGAGCTCATTCAAATATATCATCTCCATGGGCTTAGACCCGACCCTAGAAGGTATGATAACATGGAAAAACAGTCTATAATTTTTCGAAAAAAAAATATTTAAATAGTGTTGAATGCACTTCAACTGATTTACATTTGGTGTTCATTTAATTGATTGTTTAACTTTTTTAACTTTAACTGATTTGAGAGGAGCTTGTTGCCATACTTGCCTTGTCAACTGGCATTTGAAAAGAACATGGAAACTTGTATTTGGTTCACCACACGGACCACACCTACCAAAAACATGATTTGCTACCATATTATGTTTTAACTTCCAGCTGAGCTGCTGCCACTGGCAGTTAAATGAGACATCCCAAACCTGGATAAAAACACCGAATAGCTTGACTTGCACTCTAATACCTGAAAAGGGGTAAAAGGGGTATGAGTAACCAATGTTACTCAGTGGGAGTAGGCACGAATGCCCACGAGATTCACAATACCATAATTAAATCATTAATAACTGCAACACATTTAACCTTTTAAATGCATCTGTAACATAAATATAACATTCAACCTATAACCATGCATCTAGACCTCAAACATACTTGACTCGACTCTTCACATTCGCACAGGCCTCGACCCATGTTACTCAATCTCTTTAACATTCCGGGCTCGTCAGCCCCTTCTTTCAGGGCCCGTCAGCCCCTCTGAGCCCACAACCTCATCTTGTGGCCCATCATAGAAATGCTGCTTCATGGCTCGCAACCATGACCCCAGCGACAATCAATACCGCTCCATGGTTCGCAGCATGGCCCCGGTAACAACAATAGCCCTAATGGCTATATATGAAATCATAACTGTTCCTACATTCATCATTTCTTTCCTTCTCATACTTTCATACTTCATACTTTCTTGCATGACACTCTTAGACTTAACATTTCTACTTCACAAATCCTTAATACATTTATCATACTACAACATTAAATGATGCACATGGGAACTAACAATGCAACAATCAATTCATATCACATCATCATTTATCTAGTTAGACATCCTACATTCATTAACAAGTTAATCAAAGTATTAATAATGCTCGATCCAAATCCCCACCTGGTATATTGTCCTCCTCGCCTTGTGCATGGTTCCAGAACTCTTCTTGAATGTCATTGTAGCTCTCTCGGATCGGGAAGATCTTGACGGCTATGGAAAGATGTGTTCGCGGGCTTTCCGATGATATGTAGATCGGCTCCTGGTTCGCTCCGAGTCGACGGGAAAACACCATTAAAGTTCACTGCCGTCAGATCGAGATCCACAGAAATAAGTCTCGGGAAAAGGCATAACTCTAGATCTACTGCTCCGATTGCGGATCCGCTTTTTGCTACAGCTAGCTAAGAGAGTTGAGATCATGGTTACCGAGTTTCAGACCGATCGGAGTAGATTTGCCTGGTCGGATATCTGCTGTACCGAAACACCTCAGATCTGTCTCCTTCCGCCCTCTAGGTTCCTTCCAGTGAGTTCTCCTTCAAGGTGGCTCTGCATGGCACGATTTTGGCAGGGCTTCGCCATCGATATGCTCTCTGTCTTCATCTAGGTCGTGGCTCCTCTTTAAATAGAGTGGAGGCTGAAGGTTCTAGGGTTAGGGTTTCACAAGAACGGGCTTTTCTGTCCTTAATGATCAAGATGGGCTTTTGGGCTTGAAGAATAGAAAATAATTTTCAGTTCTAGTTTCATAGTCCTATCTTTCTAGAGCAGGGATGTCACATTAAAGCTCCTTAAACAGTTTTTCAAAAGAAACTTAAGGACGTTTTGAGTGGCCAGATGTCTGAGTTCCAATTTACTTGTAAAACTGGCCTCTGGTTTTTTGAAATTTTTTGCCCCCTCTCTAGCTACATGGTGATTTTGTTGAGTGTTCTTCTTAATGATTTCGGAACCAAATGGGTAGTTTATTTTCTGCTCCAAGATTTCCTTTTTAGAAGCCGGCATCATGAGAGAATCATCAATCTTCTCTATGATGTTTACATTGAAAAAAGAATATCATTGAAACAAGACCGACCCTATAAGTCTATAACTACGACTTTGATTGTTCTAAGACCGACCCTCGTGGTTATTCACCGAATCACCAATCAGTTCCATACTCGGTATCACATTATCAATCTCTTGCTGAAAATCCAATAAACTACAGCAATGTGGATGATTTTCATTACAGTAACAAAAATACATCTTTTACAACAGTGGAAAGCAGAGTAGAGACATTACATGGATAATTGGCTATATGTACCATCATTTCATCACTGTGATGTTGTATTCGGTAACCAATTTTTTCTTCATCTCAACTCTCAAACTTCTTCACACTAAAGTTTCTCTCTTCCTCACTTTTCTTTAGGCAAAAGAGAGATCAAACTACAACATTTCTTTGATGAAATCAAGGCTAAGTGTGTCCTTGACAATGAGAAACAATCCAAGGAACAGCACAAGCATGATCCCTGAAGACATTATCCCTTGTTCCACCTCTACAGGAAGCTTCTTCCCTCCTCTAACCGCTTCCAACAATATCAACGCCAACGTCCCACCGTCAAGCGCCGGTAACGGCAACAGATTGATCACCGCAAGATTGATATTCAACAACGCCGCAAACTGGTAAAGCCCGTCGATATTTGACCTCGCCACTTCTGCTCCCACCGCAATGATTGCCACAGGACCTGCCACTTTACCTGCCGTCTGAGAGAAGTTGAAGAACGTCTGCTTCAGACCGTCCAAGACATTAGACGATAGCCCCATAAACTCCTTCCCGGCGAACAAAAACGTCTCCGAAACGTTCCTCGGTCTCACCTTAGTGATTCTAACATTCGGAGACAACTGAACACCGATCTTCCCGGTTCCATCAAAGCTCTTATCCGGCGTTACACTAACATCGAAATCTTTATCCCCTCTCTCGACTCTAAACAACACATTACTCTTAGGGCTTCTTTTCACAATGTCAACAACCTTAGAGACAGCGTCAGGGCCGGTTTTAGACAGCGCAACGCCGTCCACGGCGAGGATTACGTCACCGGAAAGCAATCCATCACGGGAAGCAGCGGAAAAGGTTTTAACTTCGGGAACAAGAACACCAGGAAACGCTTCTTGCACAGGCACACCAACAGATAACACTTGAGCAAAGATTATGGCGTAAGCGAAGATCACATTGGCGATGATTCCAGCTGAGACTACAATCGATCTATCTAGAACTGGTCTGTTCTTGAGCAGATTCTTATCGTCGATTGGGATGTCACTATCGGGATCGTTATCAGGGAAACCAACGAACCCACCTAGAGGAAAAGCCCTAAGCGAGTACTCGACGTTGTTGAAATCGAATTTAGCTAGAATCGGACCAAACCCAATCGCGAATTTACTCACATGGATCCCCTGAAGATAAGCCGCGAGGAAATGACCGGATTCGTGGACGACGATGATCGCTGTGAGAACGGCGGTAGCTTCTAGAACGGATTCGAAGCTTCCCAAATCAATCCCGGAGATTGCTCTTGGCCTAAAGTCGTTCCCTTTTCCATCTGGGCACCTCTTGTTTCCGAAGGAGACTCTGTTTTCGAGGCTCTGTTTCGATAAAGGAGAGAGATTGGGGAAAAGGTAAGATTTTGAGAGATGGGTTTTGGATCGGCGGGGGAGATATGAGGTGGGATTGTTGAGATTGGAGAGAAAGTAAGGATTTCGATGAGAAATTGGAGAAGAAGAGATGTTTAATAGCATGGTTTCGTGAGGAATGGAGAATTGAGGGTGTTGTACGGTGAAGTGGTATGATTGGAGCCATTGATAGAGGCACAGAGTAAGATAACGAGTAAACAGAGTCGTGCTTTGGCATTTCTGTGGGTATGTGGATGGGATTCAGTTTCATCACAAACAACAAGTCCCTCTCCAAGTTTTTGAAAGATAGTTGTATAATGGGCCTTGTTACAAACACAAATCAGCAATCAATTTTGTTTTGAAATGATATTATTATTTGGGCTTTTGGGGCAGAATATATTTGGGGGTAGATGATTGCTAAACATAATATTTTGGGAGTATTTGTTTAATGTGCTATGCACACAGCACACATATCTCTCCTCAAACGCTAAGCCTTGTGAACCATTCCTACCTTCAAATATTTTTTGAATGCTAATTACGATCTATAATTTTTACAGCTGTTACTAAAATGAGTTTCTGCGCGATTTTGCGCGGGTTCAATTCCTAATCATGATAAAACGTAAACACGCAATTATGTTTGGACAAAACGCAAACATAAACATAGTAATAATCAACATTCAACATCATTGTAATTTATTATTAATAAAGGATTTTAATATTCATCGATTTTATTCTATTGAAAGATGTCTATATATGTTGTGTAAATTCACAAAATTCATTGACAATCAGTGGCAGAGTTAGCCAAAATTTTGACAATTGTTCGAAAGAATAAAATTGTAATAAATTCTTCTTTCTAAAACACACAAGTACTTGATGTCCATTCTCATCCATGTAAAGGATATACGACTAGTCAAACTAATATTGTACCATCTTTAACATGGATCAATGATCTTATCACATTTCATCGTACTTTCTATTTAAAATACATGTTACTTTTGTTTTAAACAAAATTCAAATGGGTCTAAGTGACAATATATGTGCACTTTGCAAGAAGAAGTAGGAAGAACAACAAGAATTAAAATCACCCAAAAATTAATAAGTATAAATGATAAACATCTATGCAAACACCTATTTAGAATAAAATGGTTAAATGACGCTGGTTCGAATCTAGTGAAATGTACACTGTAAAACATCTATCCGCGCACGGCGCAGAAAAACACCTATTTAGAATGAAATATCATAACATTATTATAAATAATATGATTTTTCTAAACGACGCTGGTTCGAATCATTGTAATTTTATAAATAACATGATTTTTCTAAACGACACCGGTTCGAATCATTATAATTTTTTCAGTACAAATATGAGGACTAGGATTAGGGGCCATTGTGAATTTTTTTCAACCAAGAGAAAAAGCAATCAAGATAGAAAAACAAAGCCCTAAAAATCAGGACATGTCTACCGCCGCCGCTTTCAGCACCAACGAGCCCCTGCCACCAAACAATGATCCTCCTCAGCCACCGTCGTCGTTAACCACATTACCAACTGACCTGATGTTAAACATCTTGGCCCGAGTCACCAGATACCATCATCCAGTTTTGTCTCGCGTCTCCAAGAAATTCCGGTCCCTGGTACGTTCCTCCGAGCTTCGCATGACTCGATCTCTCCAGGGAAATGAGGATTCCTTTTACGTCTGCCTTGGAGACTTTAATTCTCCTTCCTTGACCTATCATTGGTTCACTCTCGATCAGAGTCGTTTAGTCTCGATCCTTTTCCCTCCTCCGCGTGAGCAACACTCCACTGCTCTCATGATTGGTCACGAGATCTACCTCGTCGGCGGTCATGATATCCATCGCACTCCCTGCAAGAGCATGTCGATCATCGATTCCCGGTCTGGAGAGTTGCGTCAGGGTCCAAGTATGCGTGTGGCCCGACGTCATGCAGCTGTGGGACTTGTTGACGAGAAGATTTACGTCTTTGGAGGAGGCCAGCATGATGAACACAATTACAACATGCAAGTGGAAGTGTTTGACACAAAGAAGCAAACTTGGGATGTTGCACCAAATCCGGAAGTAGATTTTAAAGACATATCGATGTCGGTGGTAAGCCGGTCACTAGACAGAAAGATTTATGCGAAGAATGATACACATGTCGTGGTTTATGATCCGAGAAATGGTAAATGTGAGAAGATTGATTTACCAGATTGGGGTTTCTATTGCATTAAAAGTATGTGTGAGATAGAGAATGTGATCTACATTTATTGCTATCATGTTGGGCTAATGTGGTATGACTCTAAGAAGCTAGAATGGAGAGCAGTTAAAGGTGTGAAGCTCGGAGGATGGTTTTTATGCAGAACCACAATGGTTGAGTACAACGGAAAGTTAGCGTTTTTACGGGAACGTGAAAACAATGGGAAGACGGATATTTGGTGTTCAATGATTGCTTTGGAATGGGGATGGAATGCGTTGGAGATTGTAGGGAAGGTTGAGTGGTCTCATCCCATACTTTCTGTTCCTCAAGCCTACCAGATTGTGCATTGTTTAGGTCGTCCATATTATTAAAAAAAAAATGGTAGTGATGTTATGATGTTGAATATTGTGAGGCTTGTATAAGGATCATGTTTAAGTGCACTGGTGGTTCGATGAGACAAGCGTGGCTCAAAAGAGAAACAGGTGAGCAAGAGAGAGGACACATCTGTTCAAGGTGCTCGGAGTCAGGAACTGCATCACTTGTCCTTACCCAATCATCTACGACCAGTGAGAGTGAGAGTGTGTGTGTGTGTGAAGAAAGACAGTATACTTACATGGTCATAGATGATTGGGTAAGGACAAGAGATGCAGTTATGTCCTGACTCCGAGCACCTTGAACAGATGTGTCCTCTCTCTTGCTCACCTGTTTCTCTGTTGAGCCACGCTTGTCTCATCGAACCACCAGTGCACGTTGTAGTTACTCTTATTTTGACCCTGCTTTGGATGATTAAGAGTCTCTCTTTCGAGAAAATATAATATTCACACTCTGCTTTGGTCCGATTAATTATAACTAGTATAATGGTTTCCTATATAGTTTTTTTTTATATTTGACTTAATTCTGTTTAGTTTGCATCAAGATTTCCCCTCCTGCGTGTGCCTCTCGGCAAACAGTGGATTTTTGTTTGTATTAGGACTTTCACCGCGCACGCGCGGGTCTGTATCTTAAATCGGTTTAAAATATATTCTTAAAGTATTTTTTTTAAACTGCAAAAATCAACAATTAAAATTTAATAATATTTCAATACCAAATTTCTGGAAAACAAAAGTTTTTAGATATATAATATCGTGTTGAGATCAAATCTTGACATACAAAAATATTGTTTAGATCATATCCCGGTAACAAAAATGTTTGTGTATGTCTAATGACCAAAACTTACTTGAAGATATTCAAATCATTATAATAGACAAACTTTATTAGTAATATATATATATATATATATATGTAAAATGTAATGTTAATTTATGAACTATTGTGACGTGTTAGTCATTTTCTAAACAGAAATATATTTTTAAATATGTATAGTGAAATTCTTAAAATTAGATGTCAACAGTATTTGTATGTAACACATGTTTATTTAAAATAACTTCAATTCGTTATGTTAGAACTTAAAATGCTATAAACAACATATAATTTATTTTTCAGTACATTTAACTTACACATCGTGTTATTAGTTTATAAACTTTGATCATAATAGTATATATTTAGCTTTTATATAATATAAATTATGTATATTTTTTTTATGGCTTAAAGAAAATCTTAAATCATTGTTTGTTCAATGTTGATTTTTTTTAGTAATTTTGTCACGTTTTTATGCATTATGGTATACATTTCTTTTTAGAATAGTTTTATATTAATGTTTACTTGAATATTTCCCCTTAAATCTGTTTATAAATACATTCTTGTTCAAAAAATTTGTTAGTTACATATTTGTTTAGAAATTGCAAAATTCAGTTAGTGTTTATTTAATTGCAAAAATGGTTATTAACTCACCTCATATCATGTTTCTAATCAAATCGAGTAATCATATTTGGCAAGTTTATACTACACCAAAAATGAAATATTTCCTCTTGAATTTGATGGCAAAAGCTTTGTCTTGACCGATCAAACTCTGGCTGCTCATGAATTGATACACCTCATGCAATCATTGTGATCATCAAAGAAACAGTCTCCATATCTTCTTCATATGTCTTTCTACAGTATGAGTCTTGGATCAAGCTCTGCTTCTCAATAAACTTATGGCAAACTCACACATTTTTCAGGAACTCTTTGAAGATGTAGAAAAACTGATTATTCTACCCCTAATAGGTTTATTGCCTATATTCTTTATCCTTATATATTTGCCATTTTTGGAAGGTTCATGATTTTCTCTTATTTGAAAATCGTTATTTACATGGAGATGAAATCTTCTTAAAGGATGTGAAGGATGCCAGACATCAACCTCTTCTTTCCTCTCCATCTGCCTCCATTATCCTCCCGAATACAACTCTTATTTTGTTGATGTAGGGTGGAATGCTTTCTCGAAAATTTGTTGTATGAGTTGCACTATTAAATCTCCTTTGAATTCTTCTGCTCCATAGTAATCCAAACAAACTATTTACTTTTTTGACCATTTTTTGAAGCTACGATGAACTAAATATTATATAGTATGCTATTGTTTTCTTGATTTTTTGTTTTAGCTCCCAAAGCTTGATCTCTCTCATCACCTAAAAAACTGCAAATGAACTCATATGTCTTCTATACGACATTACCATTTTTGTTTCTATCTCCATTTTTTTATTCATAGATTATGTAATGTTGAGACCAACTTTTTGCAATGTTGGCTTTGTTTGCTTAGAACAATTATTCAGTTATTGGTGTAACTACTCTTTATTTGTAAAAACTTAAGTTTGGTCAAAGATAATTCACCTTAAGGTTTATTTAATTCTTTATAACTAATATTTTAGTTATACAAATGTTTTATATAATTTTTAAAATTTAGTAAATTTATTTTTTACAAAAAGTCAAAAAAACTTAATTTAATTACTTTTGGACTTGTGGAGTTTCTAATTTAAACCGGTTTATTAATTAATTTTCTTGAAACATAAAAGAAATTAAC